AAGCAGAGTTTAAGCTCCTTGGTATTTAGATGGGAGGCCAATCAGTTTAGACACCAATTTTGGATCTTCTTATTGATTCTCAGCTGGACTCATTGGCCAGCGTTACTTCTCTTTGGATCCAGGTGCAAAGCGAGGCTTACGTTCTCTCCCTGTCTTTCCCTCTGCCAACTCTTCTTAAAAGAAAGTAGGAGAGGAGAGAAAAACAGAGATGGACAATCCTCTTGGGGACAAAAGAAAATCTTTTCCTCCAACTCATACATACAAGAATCTTCCCTCGTTTCTTGTTTGCCTGAAGAGCCGTTTGACATTTGAAGGGGATAAAGATTATCATTAAAAATGCCAACTTTCCTAAAGGAATTGTATCCAAGGTGCCACGTCTACTTAAAATGAAGCAGTTTGATTTCTGCTCTTTTGAAAACACAAACGAACGGACTCAAGTTCTTTTAAATAGTCCTCCATATGTATCCACCCAAACAATACAAACAGCAGCTGGTCTTGGTATGGCCAGATGGGTGGTGGGAGCAAAATCTTCTATATCGGAAGAGGGAGATGAAAGAGAAATGGGTTTCAAGCTGGAGAATAATATTTTCCAGGTAACGGTATTCTTACTTCCTCTGCCTCGTGTTTGTTTGTTTGTTTGTTTCAAGAGAAATATAAAATGTTTAGTTCTGTTTTAAAGCAAGCAAGCAAGCATCTGCTGGCAAAGGACAAGTGACTTTCACAGTTGCAAAAGGGAAAGGGAAGAGCCCAGGTTTAGCGAGACCCAAAATGCCTCGTCTGCAGCATCCTTCAATGTTTTGGATGCTGGCCTGCTCTGCTTCGGATTGCAAAGGTTGGAATCTGTCCCAATATAAAAATCTTCTTCCTCACGATGCAGGGAGATAAGCTGAAACCTAAGGCTCTCTTTTGCTTGAGAGGTGGGATGATATATAGCAGTCGTAGAATGTGAAAGAGGAAAGAGAGAGAGGCTGACTTTACTAGAAGGGACCGCAGTCTGTATCCCCCAAGTCCTCTTTCTGAAGCTCTAGGAACTCCTCCTGAGCTTCATAGCTAAAACTGGCTACAGATCATGGTTATTTTATTATTTCTTGAGTTGCCTTCTATCCTGCCCTTTCCCCAAGAGCTCAAGGTGGCTTGTATAGGAAGTTCCTGTGCTTTTATACCTGGCCCAAAGTCACCCCAGAAACTTCCAGGACTGAGGGTGGACTTGAACCAGGTCCAACACCTTCACCCCTCCATCATGCTGCCTCTCCAGATGGTGAGGAACAAACATAGGAAAGCATCGTGTAAGTCCTAAAATAAACAATCCAACATCACCCATGGATGGGTGGGGAGCCTTCCTCCCTTTGCTGCTCTTCGAAACTCTTGAGGTCCAGCCTTGCCTTCTAAAAGATCACCCTCTTCTGCTTTCCAGCTCTGTAAGCAGACCAGACGCTTCACTGAAGGACTTGTCAGGAGCTTACAATGAGAAATTCAGCCAAAGGAGGCATGGTGGAAGGAGTGGTAAACAAAGGCAGGAGGAAACAGATAACATCTATGTACTTATTTAAATCATACCTACCTAGGTTTAGCTAGAGGAGGATGCAGGGATTAAGCGATGCCTGTAAAAGCATCATGGCAAAGGGAGGACAGGAAAGAAGAGGGAGGAAAGAATGTGGTTGGCTAAAAACAGTCTCATGGCAGGTGATGTACTGGGCATGGGGTGGGAGCCTTTGGCTTCTCTCGTTAGTGGCACAGCTTGGGGTTGAATGAACCTCTTGTAAGTCCAACTTGATTCCTGGAGGCTTCATGGCCATGTGGCTTTCTTGGCACCTGACATTCCTGGTGGTCTCCCATGCAGGGACCAGTGAGGCTGACCCTTGCTTAGTCTCTGAGCCAAGGTGGGCCAGGTGCTGCCCCCACAGAGACTGTCCGGTCTGCTCTGCTTCCGTTCCCGACCCTTCTACCCCGAGGCCTTGTGTGCCAGACTAATCTCTTTCATGACTCCTAGGTCAGCCATCTCCCTTGGGGGAGCAGACTCAAAGGCCCCAGATTAGCAACAACCAAGCCTGGAATGTAGGCCTGATGGTTCCTGCATCACAGTTGAACCGGTGGTTTTATTGCAGGGGGAAGATAGGTAAAGGGAGATCGGTCCGTTTTATGTCTGAAGCTGCTTGGAGGACATTGAGGGAAGCAAAGCTTGAACTGGGCAGAATCCCATTTCCCAGAGTGGCCAGTTTAGCCCCTCAGCAGTTTTTAAAGCTGAAAGGCCTTTCCTGCTATTGTTTCCCTGCAACTCGTTTTTAGTGGCAGAGTGCTTTGAAAGAGGGAGGCTCTCTCTAGCTATCATGCAGTGTGTATTGCAGAAAGAGCCTATTCTTGAGTTCTCCAGAGGAAGGCTCTGAAAATCCTCTGTCCCCGCCCCCCC